TTATATTTATACTATTATTTGGTGCTCTTTTTTTTTTTAATAATTTTATCCTTAAAATTACTTTTTCTTTTTCTATCATTTAAAAAAAAACCTACTCCTATTATACTATAATTACTCAAAAATTGTTCACACTCTTTTATTATTAGTCTCTCACTTATTTTATTTTTAAAAAAATATATAGATACACATAGTATCATTAATATTAGGGGTGACAAAGCGGGCCAGCCCGGCCCGTTTTGACCTGGCTTGCCAATGGCCCGCCAAAAATGGACCGGGCTGCCAATAAAAAAAAAACGGGTTAGAAACGTTGGCTTGCCCTGCCTAAGGACGGGCTGGCAGGACGGTGAGCCAACCCGCATACTACAAAAAAATTGCAAAAACAAAGAAAAAAAATAAAATTTATGTTCAAATAAAAAAAATTGCTACAAATAAATAAATATAACCATATGAAATTAAAAATGCATACATATTGTACATAATATATTTTTAACAAAAGTAAATTACAAACTTAGAACAAAATCAAATATAAATTAGTCCACTTACACCAAAATCAAAACCAAATTATAAACTTACAAATTACTAATAATCTAAATTTTTTGATAGTCCACAAAACAAGTCCATTACTTATGCAAGCAACTGAAGCTCAATTATTTATGTGGGTTGGCGGGTTGTGACAGGTCAACCTACCATTTCTCCCGGCGGGTTGAAATCATGGGTCCAACCCGCCAATTTTTGGCAGGCCAACGGGCCGGCTTGCAGGTCACAACTCATTTTGTCATCCTTAATTAATACTCTTGTAACAATTAAAAGTCTTTTATAGTCCCAATGTATTCTAATTATATTATATGCATACACAATTTTAAATTTTCAAACAAAGAAACTATATACATAGTTATTTCAAAATAAAATAGTCATACCTTGTGCAAACTTCTAATAATCAATTCCTTATATATTAAACACAAATTTCTATTTAGTGTGAGATTATTTTTAACAGTTTTTCTTCAACGAGAAGGTTTGTAAGAATGTTTTAACTTTTTATCTAATTAAATTTTTATTTATCATAATTATTTATGAATAAAATATTAATATTTTAAAATAATTTATCAATAAATAAAAATAAATGTTTTTACGGTACACATTATTTATCATAAATCTAAAATATAATTTATATGTTTAAAAATATTTATGTATATTAATTTTAAATATAATTATATATTTAAACATGATATTTATTTGTCTATATATATAATTTATTATAAATTTTAATTATATATAATAAATATATATATACATTACATACTAAAACATTGTTTAAAAGTCAAAAGATAATTTAATATTCTGTGGTGATAGATTCATATCATTTAGTATTATGAAGTTAAATTTACAATGGTGTGAGACCTAATTCTGTGGATTGTAGTGGTTGCACTACTAAATTGAAGATTCATATCAAGTCCAGGGCTAACCACATTAGAAAATATGATTTTAACTTTTTATTCCTTATTTTTCAGTACTAACTTCAACTTTCCTAAAGTCTTGAATTTGCCTCCCAATGCGTTTTACTCTTGCGTGTTTATATCTTTATACTTGCTAATTAAATTTTAAATAATGCATCACATCAGTGAGAAACAACACAATAATACCACATTGTTGAGGAAAACAAAACATCTTCATAATTTTCCGGATCTTATTTTCAACCATAGAATGAAGATATAATGCCCTTCGCATTGATCTTTCGAAGCTATAGTTTGTTCCATTTAAAGGTGGGTTGATGGTTACCGATGATGGTCCTTTACTTGGATGTACAAGTAATGGATGGAGAGGTTTAGAGAAGGATCTCCACCTCATGTAAAGTTGTAGAGATAACGTTGAAACATATATAAATATGTGAGAATAACATTTTCTTCTTGTGCATAAAAAGCTTAGGTGGGTGCTCACTAGGATGAGGACAAATTTCAAAGTTATATGAGCGTTTATAAATTAATGTTTTATTTTAATTTAAAATATGAGGATATATATATATATATATAAAGTGAGAACTATTTTTATTTTTTAAGAGTGTCAGAAAAACAAGTATCGGTTAACTAGGTATTAGTCAACGAATGTAAAAAGCATATTACTTGGAAGTCAACTATAAAGTTCATAACAAGAAATCATAGAAACTCTAGTTGTTCTATAAATCATGGGTATTGGGTACCAGCAAATATGGCCACCTTCCTGCACATGACTCGAAGATTTTGAAGAACATGAACAGAAAAAGGATCTAATAGGACAATAAATCTCTACAAGTTTCATGAGCAATTGTTATTGGCAATATAATCGATAGGGTGCTGCCTCCTTGAGAGGGAATGGAAAGATAAATGAGTTAAAAATAAAAAGATAGTAATAAAGAAAGACTAAGGGTATCAATTGTATATTTTGTGGTTTCTACGGCCCCTAACAGCATACCATTCAAATACATTACATACTAAAACATTGTTTAAAAGTCAAAAGATAATTTAATATTCTGTGGTGATAGATTCATATCATTTAGTATTATGAAGTTAAATTTACAATGGTGTGAGACCTAATTCTGTGGATTGTAGTGGTTGCACTACTAAATTGAAGATTCATATCAAGTCCAGGGCTAACCACATTAGAAAATATGATTTTAACTTTTTATTCCTTATTTTTCAGTACTAACTTCAACTTTCCTAAAGTCTTGAATTTGCCTCCCAATGCGTTTTACTCTTGCGTGTTTATATCTTTATACTTGCTAATTAAATTTTAAATAATGCATCACATCAGTGAGAAACAACACAATAATACCACATTGTTGAGGAAAACAAAACATCTTCATAATTTTCCGGATCTTATTTTCAACCATAGAATGAAGATATAATGCCCTTCGCATTGATCTTTCGAAGCTATAGTTTGTTCCATTTAAAGGTGGGTTGATGGTTACCGATGATGGTCCTTTACTTGGATGTACAAGTAATGGATGGAGAGGTTTAGAGAAGGATCTCCACCTCATGTAAAGTTGTAGAGATAACGTTGAAACATATATAAATATGTGAGAATAACATTTTCTTCTTGTGCATAAAAAGCTTAGGTGGGTGCTCACTAGGATGAGGACAAATTTCAAAGTTATATGAGCGTTTATAAATTAATGTTTTATTTTAATTTAAAATATGAGGATATATATATATATATATAAAGTGAGAACTATTTTTATTTTTTAAGAGTGTCAGAAAAACAAGTATCGGTTAACTAGGTATTAGTCAACGAATGTAAAAAGCATATTACTTGGAAGTCAACTATAAAGTTCATAACAAGAAATCATAGAAACTCTAGTTGTTCTATAAATCATGGGTATTGGGTACCAGCAAATATGGCCACCTTCCTGCACATGACTCGAAGATTTTGAAGAACATGAACAGAAAAAGGATCTAATAGGACAATAAATCTCTACAAGTTTCATGAGCAATTGTTATTGGCAATATAATCGATAGGGTGCTGCCTCCTTGAGAGGGAATGGAAAGATAAATGAGTTAAAAATAAAAAGATAGTAATAAAGAAAGACTAAGGGTATCAATTGTATATTTTGTGGTTTCTACGGCCCCTAACAGCATACCATTCAAAGTAAGTTAATAAGTGAAGCTTAAATAAATAAAAATGACCATGGTCCATGACATAAGTCCACTAAGCAAGAATAACGAAGAACTGATCTACAGACTAAACTACAACAATGAACTTCAAAATCTAAAAGCAATGAGCCATATAATAAAGAAATTAAGTCAATTATCATGAGTCATGCACTGCTCTAATTTTGCAATCACCCTCGCAAAATCTCTGTATCATAATTTGTGACTATTTGATCCACATGTGCTAAAAGAGAAGATTTACTTGGACATGCAAGTTTACGAAATTTTATCGCATTGATAGAGCGTGGAGAAACATATGCACTTGCTGTAGCCTATAGAAAAGGATGTTATTAGTCCTGCCACAATCACCTTGCTTGATATTCTCTAGTTTTGGATAAAGTATCGTCGACACATTTTGACTATACTTAGCCCAAAAATTGTAGTCAATTCTCTGCTTGTACTTAACCATGGACATGCAACCATGACAACCAATTTGATTGAGTTCATGCTTGTGTTTTCAACCAATAACAATGTTAATTCACTATTTTTTTTACTCATCTTATTAATCTTATAATTACTGAAAATTGGAAATTCCCATATTCTTTCATGGAAATATTGCAATACTTGTTAAGCATCAGGGAATTACCACATATATACACATGTCTCCATATTGGTGAGATATTATCTGCTTTGGCCCAAGCTCTCACGGATTTGCTTTTGGACACCATCCAAAAGGCCTCTCAACCAATGGAGACAACTGTATATTCAAATCCATGTTCATCCTTTTGCTTAAACGATGTGAGACTTTACTTGCCTCCCAACAATCCTTCCCTCAAACAGAGGACCACGGTTTACCCTCTCCCCTGCAGTGAAAACTACGAGTATTATCCGATGGTGGCCCACAGAGCTCACTCACACTCTGAGTGCTTGCACCGTCACTCCATCTTGATCTCCCTAATGACAGTAGGAGACGCCTCCTAACCCTCCATGTTACCAGGAAACCTCTCTTTCACGTAGACCTACCATTAGGAAGACTTTCGACATAAGAAATCTCAAACTTGGATCTACCTGCCAGCCATCATACTCGTCAAGCCGGTCACCTCAGACCATCGACTCTGATACCACTTGTTAAACATCGGGAGTTACCACATATATACACATGTCTCCACATTGGTGAGATATTGTTCGTTTTGGGCTCAAGCCCTTACAAATTTGCTTTTGGACACCACCAAAAAAACCTCTCAACTAATGGAGACAATTGTGTATATTCAAACTCATGTCCATCCTTTTATTTAAACGATTTAGGACTTTGCTTGTATCCCAACACGTTAGTCTAACAATGTAGGAAAATAGGCCCCCCCTTTTCACCCCAACATCATCTGAATAATAATTCACTGAATTCAGCTTGGGGAAACAATTTACATAGCTCATGTCTTTTCATGACTAAGATAGACAGATATCTGTAGCGGAAATGGAGCACAAGTTTTATAGGTAAAGAGTTCATGATTGTATATTATAACTTTAAAATACTCCTTCACGGAAGTGCTCTTTGGACTAGAAGTGTGAGTGATGCACATGCCAATATGCTTTTCATGAGCAGCAAGAATTAAACTCTAGACCACTTGGTCATGAAGGCTCTGGTACCATCGTGAACCTACAATTCCAAAAGCTTAAACTATTAGGTAAAGATACATGAATGATTTTATATTACATCTCTAATCTCTAATATTACACTAACACGCCATTAGGACTCATTCCGCATTCTTGTTGCCACGTTTCCGAGTTTTACCCTTGGTATTGCCTGTTCTAATTTTTTAAAGTCTGTAAATAAGAACATGCACAGCTAGATGCTTTTTTTTTTCCTCCTTTCAAGTGCAACAAGGCCATGTATTTTGAGTTTGTTTTTATCAAGAGAACTTAGATTGTGGCAAGGTTGTAAAATCTATGCGCCAGATTTAAATGAAAATGCCTTTGCTTTCCTCATTGTGGCAAGGTTGTAAAATCTATGCGCCAGATTTAAATGAAAATGCCTTTGCTTTCCTCAAAATATAAGTTTCAAATTCTAATATTAAAAGGGGAGTTAGAATAGTATTTTACAAGATTTTAAGATCAAACCTGAAGCTGTCTTTATAATTTTGAAATATAAAAAAAATTCAATGTTAGAAATATCATCTGTTTCCCGTGCAGAATCAAGGTATCTCAGCATCCATATATCTATTCTTAGCTCCATTAACACATTCTTGTCTTGTAGTCAAGTAGTAGGAGAAAAAAAAAAATCTAATCTTCAATTTACAAATGGAAATTTGAATAAAGTTGGAGATTCAAAAGCTGTTAGTTAGGGGTATATAATTTCTACGAAAATATACTTGGGGTTTAATTTGGCATCTCATACCTACCTGCAATAGCAAATATCTCCACAAATATATTAAAAAAAAGGAACTTTTTTTTTCATAAATAACAAACTTTATCTCACAATAGAAGCTACAATTTGCAACCACCTGGTTGCACAACTACTAAGAGTTCAATAAACTAATAGGAGAACTAAACCAAAAAGCAGGAAATGACATTCAGAGAAGAATTTGAAACTAACATAAGGTACAATTCTTTCTCCAAATGACAATGAATTCCAATGGGAATGGTTGTGTAGTAAAGAAACCCATGGGCCCAAAACGAAATCAAACAAAGAATAAACACAGTGCTTACATCCAATTCTCAAGCATGAAGTGCTGAGCATAACAAGACTGAGTACTATATATACTAGACTATACTAAACCGCAGATGACAAGTATCAGTAGTTTCTTTCATTCTTACCTATTTCCAAACGACGATTAACCGATCCCGCTACCAAGACAATGAGCACCCGAAGCCTCTAAGCAATTCGCAAATCAATTATTCTTTCTTCAAAACCAAAGATGGACAAAACTCGTACACAATTCCTCAAGTACTTGTAGTGTTCTTTTCCATTCAAAAAATAAGCTTTACCTCATCAAGGAAAAACTCGAATTATTCTGATCGAATAATATCAAGATAAAACTCGAATTCTGATTGGAGAACAGTACCAAAAACAAGGGTACACAACTTCATCTAAGTTTAGTCCTGGCCAACCACCACTACTCAAACCATCGATGACAGCAAAATCACACGAAGAAGCTTCACTCAAGTCCCATTCATTCATCCATGAGTATTAACAGCCTCCCAAACCAAATTCTTGGGGAGGGGCTTGGAGGCGTCGCGGGCCTGCAAGGCGGCGGTCCTCAGAGTCTGAATGGTGAGCACATTGGCCTTCCAGAAAGAGACACAGTTGTAAGGAAGGTTATGCTTGTTGCAGAGATCCTTAACCAATGGCGCAATCTTCCTGAGATTGCAGCGTGGGAGGCGCGGAAAGAGGTGGTGCTCCACCTGAAACTGCAAGCCACCGTGGAACCAATCCATCCAGGAAGAGCAGCTAACATCGAGAGTGCCATTGGTCTGTATCTGAAACCAATCGGAGCCATTGGGGGGGCCAAGGTAGACCTTGGAGGAGAAATGGTTCAAGCAGAATTGAACGTGCTGAATTGCGGTAACAGAGAAGCTAACAAGAACAAAGAGAGCCCTCTCCCACCAATTGGGCAAGAAGGAGATTAAGAGAGGGTACCAAATCCAGAACAGGAGCAGGCCAAGAAGCTCTACACCTCTGTGGTCGACCTTACGGTTGGAGAGCAGGAGGAAGAAGGATTGGGCGAAGAGGTTGAGCCTAGCGAAGCACATGACAGGGTAGAAGGTGAAATGCTGGTAGCTGACAAGAACCCTAGCGAGGGAATCGAAGTTGAGTTTGCGGTCGTAGAAGCGGGAAGTGAGGGAGGTGAAGAAGGAAGAGGAAACGACGAAGAAGGGGAGGTGTTGAAGGTCGGGGTCGAAGTCCAGGCTGTTGCAGGAAATGTGGTGAGCGTTGTGGTTCCATTTCCACCAAGCGATGCTGATGCCGGCCAGGACGTTGCCGGAGAGGATCTGGATGAGGCGGTTCAGGCGGCGCGTGGGCATCACGTTGTAGTGCCCGGAGTCGTGGCCGATCCAGCCGCTCTGGATCCAGGCGAAGCCGATGAGGGCGGCGGAGAGGAGGTGGACGGAGGCGCGGTCCGAGAGGAGGACGCCGGCGACGGCGAGGGCGAGGAGGGGGACGATGAGGGAGAGGAGGGCGAGCGTGGTGTGGCCCTTGCGGTCGAAGAGGCCGGCGCGGGAGAGCTCGGAGAGGAGGCGGCGGTAGTCGGAGGAGGCGGGGGAGACGGCGTGGTCGCGGAGGCGGAGGCCGGTGGAGAGGCGCGGGAGGAGGGCGGCGGCGGAGGGAGGGTGGAAGGCGAGGAAGGCATCAGTGGCGTCGCGGCCGGCGAGCGTGAGGAGGGGGAGGGAGCCCCCGGGGTGGCGGTGGAGCCATTCGGTGACGTCGTAGACGGCGCCGTGGATGGAGATCCAAGCGTCGTGGCGCGTGTTGTGGTTGGCGAGGTCGGAGGAGGAAATGTAGGATGCGGGCGGGTCCATTGGATGGGAATGCAGAGAATGGGTGTAGGAGCAGACAGCAGAGTGGGTAAGAGAAGAGAGAAGAAGAGCATAGAGGACACTCCTTTTGTAACGCTTACTTCGTGTCCCGGGAAGGAAACTGCGCAAAAACTCACTTGATTTTTCTGTTACTAATTCTTCTTTTTCTTTTTTTTTAATTTTAAAAATAATAGTACACTACTAATCATTGTTTTCGAGCGGCAGGATAGTGATTAGTGACGCACCTAAATAATTCATTCCCCTAAATACTAAATACACGCTACATATTAAAGAAACAAAACTCATAAATATCAAAATTAAAATTAAATATTTTAATTATAAAATTTACGAAATTATACACAAAATATCTAAACCTATTAATTATTTGTTCGATAGCTTTTACTTATTTTTATTAACAAAAAAAATTAAAAATGTGTCCATCTTTTTCTTTTTTCTTAAAGAATGTATTTAAACGAATATCTCGTTGATATGGTTTTTTTTTAATAAATTCAATTAGATAATTAGTTAAATATCGAATTATTTATGGAAAATAAAAATAGAAAATATTGAGTATAGAATTAGTGTAATGTAATATCTTCCTATAAATCTTTCTTTTATTTCATAAAGAAATAATTCAATGAAATAATATATATATATATATATATATATATATATAATGTCTTAAATTTGTAAACTTATTCAAAATTTGTGATATAAAGAAAAAAAAAGTTAATAAGAAAACATAATACCATATAGGATTCGAAAATATTATTTCAATTCTTTATTATTAAATCAATTTTAATAGTTATGGAAAAGAGTATCTTGTTAATATATATATATATATAACTTGTGACTAAATTTCGAATAAGAAAAGGTTCAAGTAAATATTTATTTAATAAAAATGTTATAGGATAATTTTGTATTGTCATAAATTATAAGTATTTAATTTAATAAAAATATTTTGATCAACTTTATTGTGAACATCGAAACCAGTTATCAAAATCTAAATACTTTTATAAATTAAATATTCTTAATTATTATTTTTTTCACATCAAATAGTCTTAATTCATAAGATACGTAATTGTGTAATAGGATGAAGGCAAATAAATTTAAGAGTTATACTAATTAATGGTTATAAAAGTCAACTATTATATTTACTAATAAAAAACCAAATTAATTAATGGTATTAATTTTATGGAGTATATTAACAGTTTTTTCATTTTCTTTTATATATTACTACTTGGGGAAAATATAAAGAAAATTTAGAAAAGTTTTAGACCTTACCTTAGCAACTAATACACTAAACTCTAATCAATAAGAACGAATGGTATGCACACATAATTTCATTATCATTGTTTTAGGATAATAAATAAATAATTAAAAGTAAAACAATGACAATTAATGTTATTGATATATTTTTTCTGTAATTTTGAAAAATATTTATTAATATCTTAAATATTTCTCTTGAGATAATAAATAAGAAAATCTATAGAGAGAGAGAAAAAGAAAAGAAAAAAATGTATGAGAATATTTGGTTATATAATCATTATATTGAAACTAATAGTTCAATTATATATCTAATTATCAATCTTACCCGATCATTAATTAAAAATAAAATGATCATCCGAAATTTGTAAGAAAATACGTAATTTAATTAATAATTTAAATTCAATAATGATAATTAAATATTCCTATTTTACCTTGTCATATAAATGTAATTTTATTATTGTAGAGATTAATTGCATATCATCCTAATTGTTTGTATTATATTTTATTAATATTCAATAATTCTAAGTATATCCATGTTTTAGATATAGTTTATATCGTAAAATATTTTAATTTAATGAAATTGTATTAAAAAAATTAAATAAATGTGATAATTAATAAAAAAAATTATATGGATGTAAGTTAAAAGCGAAAAGAAACGTGTGATTATTATCCAATCAAAATAGAGACAACAACTTTTGTTGGTCTATTCGGACAATGATAATTCAACGTGTGGCAGAGACCCATTTGAAAACGACACGTTTGACAGAGTGGGCTCTCTGCGCTAAGAAAAAGATACTTTTCTCGTATGCAACAGAAACTTTTTTACTATTTTTATAAAAATAAAAAAAAATCATTTTTTAATTTTTAAGAGATTCTAAATTGTTACACCCATTTCAACCCAAAGTAAAAATAGTGATATTTTGGGCACTTCTAAAAGTAAAAAAATAGAACTAGAAATAAGAAAAACAAGAAAAAAAAAACTATTACATGTGATTTTAAATTTAAGACAAAATAAAAAGGCCAAGATTACGACAGGCAACCATAATATGAACATAGTACATAAAATACAACTGTCAAAAGAAGGAGATTATTAGCTGTAATAACAGGCTGTCTCGTGAAAAATAATAACATTTCTCTATCATAAGAGCAAGTAAAATAATAAAATTTGTCTATGATAAGAACAACTTAAAACGAATTGAGATTGAATGGTTGCTAGCATTTTGCAAGGATAATATTTATCTTTTTACAAGATGAGGAAACATTGAAATTCTAAATGCTCTTATCAGAAGAAAAAGAAAAAGAAAAAAAAATGATGCTATATTCACGGTGCAGAGACAGGGATAGAAGTTTGTTGAGTCAGTTGCATATGCAGACGAAGAAAAGTGAATCATGCAATATAGTATCTAACAAAACCCTTTTAGAATATGCCACATGGGGATGCTTCGTCCTACACATATTTAATCAAAATATCTTCATAAATCATCCCTCACCGTACCATAGGATGCTTCACTTCTTCATATCATATCATTCATCTTTTACCCAATCAAATTATAGACCAATATTAGGTACGAAAGATCAGAAAATGCTATTCGTGTGAGGGAACTTCCGTTCAAATTTTTTAAACAATGACTTCAATCTGAGTGCGTGAATATAAAGATTGTGACAGAGAAAAACTCTACTAATGTTTCGTACCAACGAGTTAATGACATTGTTGTTAGGTTGTTCAAAAACAGACGCATGATCGGATATATTAAAAATATTTAAAAGTAATTATTAAGTCAAAATTATTAATTTAAAATATTTATTTAATTATAAATTCACATGAATTTTTAGGATTTCGGGTTTAGGGTTTAATTATAAACCCTAAACCCTAAACATGAATTAAACACCAACGATGTAAAATAATTTTATATTATTAATCAATTACAATTCATTATTAATATAATTTTTAATTATTTAGTGTAAAAGCTAACCAGATGAACACATATAATGATAATTGCATAATCGATTTTTTTTCTTCTAATTTTAATGTAATGGGGTGTAATTAAATACTATAATTTTTTATAATAATTAAAGCACATGTCTTTGCTCATTATTGTCTTTACTAATCATTGTCTTTCCATTTTGCACATTCTTGCTTTGGCTCACCACTTCCTTCACCTATATAGGCTTTGGACATTATTCTTGTAGTGTATCTATCCTTTCATCTTCAACGTGCTGGCAAAGAACCTTCAATTCATGGATTTAGTGGTTTGTACTAGCAAGACACATATTTTCTAAAATATCACTGGCAAAGGAACTTCTCTCCTTGTTTGTCATTTGCAATAATTAATCTCCTGCAATTATAAGAAATTGATAGTTAATTTGGTTATGTATGGAGCATTTGTAAGATTATGTTGCCTACAAATTATAGGATCTATTCTACTAAGTTCTAAAAACATCAACATCTATCAATCTCATCAAATTTATTAAAAAAAAAGTAATCATATTTTTTTTCAAAGGAATTACAATAAAAATATCAAAAATTAAACTTAAAGTTACATGTGTTTGAAAATTAGTTAAATTAAACATTATTTTAAACTGTAAACACACTTCAACTCTTATCAAGTAATGATATATATATATATATTGGGAGTTATAATTATACCGGTATAATTTTTACTAAGTATTACACTATTCAATAACTTTATATTAATTGTGAATTTTGTAAATCTAACCGTTAAATTGAAAGTTCATATCACTTTATACGTGTATATCAAATTTTGTTATAAATTGAACAACAACTTGAAGGTAATCAAAGTGTTCATATTTTAGTGTATTTTAAAATGAATATATTACGTCAATTTTATTTTATAAAAATGAAGTATCAAATCATCTTGGATTAGTATAAAATTTTGTATATATGATCTAAGAGATATGAACTTTCAATATAACGGTTGGATTTATAAAATTCACATTTAATATAAAGTTATTGAGCAGTGTAATATCTAGTAAATCCAACCGTTAGATTGAAAGCTCATATTAGTTTATATGTTTATATCAAATTTTGTTAAAATTGAACAACAACTTAAAGATAATCAAAGTATTCATATTTTAGTATATTTTGATATGTATATATTACGTCAATTTTGTTTTTATAAGAATTTGAAGTATCAAATCATCTTCGATTAATATAAAATATTGTATATATGATCTAAGAGTAAAAAATTTTCAATCCAACGGTTAATGAGCGATGTAATACTTAGTAAAAGTTACACCAATATTATTATATCTCTCTTGGTATATATATATATATGTGTGTGTGTGTGTGTGTGTGTGTGTGACAGAGAAAAGCTAAGAGTATTTTGAAATGCTTCAATCCTCATTATTACCAACCCAAAACGTAAGGTACAAGGATACTGAATATATATACAGCATAGACAATTCAAAATTGAAAAAAGAAAATAGCTAACCATCCTAACAAACTGGCCAACATAGCAAGAATAACATAATTGACAGTAAGGCAAAACTAACTTGCCAACTAATGCTGACAATCCTAACAGAAACGTAGAAACGTATTTCTCACACCCTCCCTCAAGATGAGTGGTGAATATTCAGCAAGCCCATCTTGGACAAATTAACATTGAAAGGCCCGGGATAAAGTGTCTTAGTGAACATGTCTGCCAATTGATGCTTTGAAGGAACATGAGAAAGAACAATGAGCCCATCAAGAATCTTAGCAGGAATAAGATGACAATCCACTTCAATGTGTTTGGTTCGTTCATGAAAGGATGGATTCTTAGCCAGCTGAATGGCAGACTGATTATCACAAAAAGTAGGAAATGGGAGTGGAATTTGGATACACAAATCATC